CAACAGGAAGTCGGCTATTGAGGTTTGTTTGTAAAACGCTCGCAATGGAATGTCAAATACTCCTCCTAGAGCTTTGATCCAAATTCGACTAAAACTCAGTCAGCGTGAAGTCAAGACATTGAGGATGAAAGTTTGCGAGGGGATTTTTGATATCTCGAACGGTTTGTCCGTGGCGAGGAAACGAAATCATGGCGAGAAACGTGAAACAGGAAGTGTGTTATAACTTCAGCATACATTAACTGATCTTGATGAAACTTCAGCAGTGTGTTCGCTGTAAGAGGACGATCACATGGATGTGACTATTGTGAGTCAAAGTTATAGCGCCACCAACTGGCAGCAGGAAGTGTGTCACTTTCAAAATGCTTTGATATCACCCTTTTATTTTTACCCGATTTGCTTCAAACTTCATCTGTATAATGTAAACATACGATAGATGTAGACCTGTGAATGGATTCTTGATATCTTTGAAACTGTTGCCGTGGCGACGCATCAAACTTTACCCTTCTTTTAGGATGCTTTTAGGATGCTTTTGAGACCCTTAGCATGCTTCAAAATGCATGAAACTCGACAGACACATCACATTTATTAGCCAGTAGACATGTGCAAAGTTTCAGAAACGGGCGTGGTGAGGGCTCAGTAGCGCCACCTTTTGACAAAAGTGGGGTTGTTAGTTTTAACTAGAGTTACAAAAATTGGTATGTATATTGTACTCCTCGAGCCGGACAACTTTCTAATTTACACTTATTAGCTAGGACCCACAGAAACTCAGATATTTTTGTTTGAATATGGTCACTCTGAGCCTACATGTCTCTGTGTCTTTGGCTGGCTGGCTGGCTGTCTGTGTGTGTGTGAGTGTGCAGGGGGAGGGGGCTTAACCATTTCACTGCTGTGTGTATGACCTGCATAAAGAAAATACATTTCTCAAGCCTGGTATTTTTTAAATAAGTTTTTTATTTTATTTTTTATAAGTAAAGACATATAACTAGTTTAATTGTAGTGCATTGACAATAGTTTTATATAATTAGTTTATTAATCAGATTAACTTGGTCAATAAACTTGGTCTGAAAATTTGGTCCATAAATCAAACACACTTGCATGTAATAATATGAAACTTGGTACACATATAGATCTCATCGTTTCATATATAGCCTACTTCACACTCTTACTTTTTACCCCAGCCCAACAGGAAGACGGCTATTTAGGGTTGTGTTTAAAACACATGCAATGGAATTTAAAGTATTGCTCCTAGAGCACTGAACCAAATTCGACAAAACTCGATCAGCGTGAAGTCAAGACATTAAGAATGAAAAGGTGCCAAGGAATTTTTTATATCTCGAACGGTTTGGCCGTGGCGAGGAAACGAAATTATGGCGAGAAACATGAAACAGGATGTGTGTTATAACTTCAGCATACATTAACTGATCTTGATGAAACTTCAGCAGTGTTTTCGCTGTAAGAGACCGATCACATGGATGTGACTATTGTGAGTCAAAATTATAGCGCCACCAACTGGCAGCAGGAAGTGTGTCACTTTCAAAATGCTTTGAAACCAATCTCTTATTTTTAACCGATTTGCTTCAAACTTCATCTGTATAATGTAAATACACGGCAGATGTAGACCTGTGAATGAATTTTTGATATCTTTGATACTGTTGCCGTGGCAACGAATCGAACTTTAACATTCTTTTTTGATGCTTTTGGGACTCTTAGCATGCTTGAAATTGCTTGAAACTCAACAGATACATCACATTTATTAGCCAGTAGACATGTGCAACTATGGCAAAAGATTAAAGTAATGTCAAAAAAGTAAACACTAAAAGCCTCATATCTTCTAAAAATGTAATTATACATCATTTGTTTCTAAATTAAATTATACAAATATTATAACTTCCCCAATTTTTCCTTTTTTTCATTTAAGAATTATGTTTACGTTCAAAAACAGCCATAATTGTTGTAAAATTCATAAAAAAATAATAATCTGAGTCATACGTAGTGCTATACTGCCCTCTTGTGTTCAATATCAGGTAGGCCTATTGTGTATATTCCCACCGGTTAATCAACGTGTGACTCCGCTGGGACTTGGGAGCTTTTAAATCGCTTACTTAAAATCGAAAGTCGAAATACGGATGTCCGCACAAGACATTAATGGTGTGGAGTAGAGCGAGCATTTTAAATAAATTCCTATTAAGTAGGATTGAACTAAACAGAAAGAATGTTCACTCTGTTCTGCTGGTTCCTCGCTGGTGGATCATATGATTACTTTGTCATAATCTATGACAAAAATGCTATTATAAACCATATTAATAATAGATAATACACATTGCTCTTATTTTTGAAAAATACATTCATGAAAAACAAGATAACAAAAATCATAAAAAAAATATAGCCATGGCTGCTATAAATGTTTGAAATGCATAGGACAGATGTTTAATGACGCAGCAACATATAATTGAAAGGCAATTAATAATCTGTCATTACGTCACTGCATTATGATATTACGGCTCCGATACGGTGCAGCACAAAGCACTTATGTGCATCCCGAGCGGAGAATGATGTGCTTGAAGCCACATGAAGTTACAGCGCAGTGAATCCGTATTGAAAAGTTCAAAGCACAAAGGAAATACATATTTATGAACAGTGTATTATACATTATCTATCTATGCAATAGTTTATTGAGCCTTCTCTTTTAAAGGTTTTAAATTTCAGTTACTGTGTGCGTGAAGAACAATTATAGTGCTCTGACTCTAGTGTTGTGATCTAACCGACAGCGTCCGACACCCGGTAGAAAGTAACACGGTTAAGTTACAGCAATAAAGTCCAGCAAGAAAAAGTTTCTTCATTCAAAAATATAGACATTTAGACCTTTATCTTAAAGATCCAGTATAATAGGATTAACATTCAATCATCTTGAAGATCGTTTCATCATTGACTGTAACCGAATGTGACGTGCTGTTTGAATGCTGAATGGAGAATGACTGACAGGCGCAGAGAGGGAAAAGTTTGTGTTCTTGAATTTAATGACTTAAATATTAATTTCTATATCACATAATAGCTTCAGAACACTAATAATACAGTACACAAAAACTTTATGGTACTTTAGAAAGTTTTTGTGCCTTTGTGCCTAACATAGAATAGTATATATGCACAATATAGAATTTGAATCAGCCTCGTCAAAGATGGCAGTGTCAGAGCCGATACCGATCCTGAGTATCTAATCGGCGCACTTCTTTTCAACAGTCAAATTGAAATTGAAATTGAAATTGCTTGAAACTCAACAGATACATCACATTTATTAGCCAGTAGACATGTGCAACGTTTCAGAAACGGGCATAGTGCAAGGACTAAATAGCGCCACCTTTTGACAAAAGTGGGGTTGTTAGTTTTATCTACAGTTACAAAAATCGCTATATACATTGTACTCCTCAAGCCGGACAACTTTCTAATACATAGTCATTAGCTCGGACCAAGAGGAAGTCAGATATTTTGGTTTGAATATGGTGAGCCTCTCTCTGAGCCTACATCCCTGTATGGCAAGCCCTTTTAACATTTAAAAGCTAAGTTTGCCTGTCCGGAATTAACATTGTAGATATCAACAACGTCTTTCTGTCTATTCGTAATTACATTTTGGATAGTTTGTATTATCATTTAAGATATCTGTAACATAATTGTGACTAGTCGAAATGACAGAGTATGGCAAGCCGTTTTAACATTTAATCATAAAAGGGCCAAAGCCTTCGGCACCGCCACCCGGGTGCATTTAGGTAACTAAAGGAACCGGGGTTGCGGTGCCACCGGCTTGGGCCCGCCATCGCTGCTCGCAGCTATATTATTTTTATTGTATTTGCTGGGATGGCAGGTCTTTTGAAGAGAGAAGCACAGTGGTGGAGTCTTTGGCACTTTGCCACGCAAACCCATAGGCTTTTGGTAAAGCACCTCAGGATAAAGTTGTAATCCTGTAACTCTCTCCCCTTTTCTGTTGCTTTACCACATTTCATATTAGACCACAAGCAGAGAGGCTCCGGTCTCTCGTCAGCAAAATTGGAGCCTCCTTTTTGTGGGGATCTGAGAGAGCTGGGAGTAATTTTCACTTGAGTTTGTCCCCTTGAGAAGAGCTTTTTAAGGCATTTAAATAAGTGGCCTCACAAATGATTCATTTTTTTTCTTAATAGAGGCTGGGGGGGAGGGGTTGTAATGCACCATTTAAGTCTGTGAGTTGTAAATCATCTCAACCGATAGTCTTTCATTCCTCACCCTAACGCTGCCCATTGAATAATGAGCATCTCTGATTTATAATTCTGAGTGGGGACCATGTGTTAAGTATCATAACCACAGGCAGAAGCAAAACTGTTGCTACTGTAGCAACTAATTAAAGCGCAGTACTCTCCCTTTCTCTCTCTCTCTCTCTCTCTCTCTCAGACACACACACGCATATTTACATCTTCATTTAATGCACTTTATTAGCAGCAGCCTTGGAATGCAGATGGTTTTACTCTGTTGCGCATAGTTAAAAGAGGGAGGAAGACGGGCGTTTCTGGTGAAAGAATGCACATCCGCAAAAATGAGCTGAACGACAAAAGTTTTCATTCTTGAATGTCTGTAGTACTGCTCCATGTTTATAAAATACATCAATGCAGTTACGCTAATCCTGTCAGGTCGTTTGTTGTAGTGTCAGCCGGGGGAAAAGCACATTGTCTCAGGTGTGTTTTGCAGCCAGCAATCTTTCTTTGTGCTGACTTGCAGAAGATAATGTGGCATAGAGACTACCGGTTGCAATGCAGGTTTTATTCTCTGTTGTATAATAGAGATATTCATGAGCAGAAATAGGATCATACCAGCCTCATTATTCAGAGACCACCTGGTTCATTGGCTTCTAAATAATATGTGCTAGATAAAATAAAGATGTGTCTGAGATTGATATTGTGTTTTTGTGCAGGTTGAATTTACAAAGCAATACTCCCACTCTGTGTATTACAGCATGTTGTTTTTGTTCTGTGCCGCAGCCCGCAAGCTGAGAAAGATTGGACAGGTGAAAGGTCCGGATGAGGTCGGCTCCGTTCAGGGCCCGTCAGAGAGTGCCCAGTGCCTGTCGCCCAAGCCCTGCTTGACGTTCCACTCGCAGCTGATCTTCCTGAACATCCTGGAGGCCATCGAGCCAGAGGTGGTGAACGCCGGCCACGATCACGCTCAGCCTGACTCGGCTGCTGCTCTCCTCACCAGCCTTAACGAGTTGGGAGAGAGGCAACTTGTCAAGGTAGTAAAATGGGCCAAAGGACTTCCAGGTAATTTTAGCATGTCAAATTGTGTAATAACTCATTTCAGTTTCAGCTTCATTTCAATTTTGCTTTTTGGATTGGATTTTTTTTATCTATTAGTTTATTTTCAAATATATCAATAAGTTAATACAATAATTTAAATGCACCTTCTAAAAAAAGGTCAGGATGTCATAATGAAAAATTCTTTGAACAATTAAAAAACATTTTAACAACACTGCTTATAATTATTTGCTATGTATGACACAATCTTTTGAAGACCGTGATTAGTTGATTGTCCAAGAAGGAAAACAATTGTGATTTTAAGTATAGGGTCTATTTAGGCCTTCACTTACACACACACACACACACACACACATTATATATGTGTATATAAATCCTTTTTTTATTTACCATGCTGTTAATTTCCTGTATAAGGTATTTGATTGGCTTAGAATGATTAAAAAAATTGTTCCACTCTTTTCAGTTACACTGATTGCTGGCATGTCTATTTAAGTGGTGGTTTGAATGTTGGTTTTAATGTAACAAACATGGAATCAAAACCAAGTAGGACGAGAAAGCCCGACTGGGCAGAGGAACAGTGTTTACTGTTAGCCCAGTTAGTGGATGAACACAAGGCCATCATTAAAGGATTAGTTCACTTTTGAAAAAAACTTTTGCTGATAATTTACTCACCCCCATGTCATCCAAGATCTCCATGTCTTTCTTTCCTCAGTCGAAAAGAAATTTAAGTTTTTGATGAAAACATTCCAGGATTTTTCTCCATATAATGGACTTACATGGGAACCAGACGGTTCAAGGTCGAAAAGAGAGTTAATAACAGTTTCAGATGCAGCTTCAAATGTCTTTAAACAACACCAGACGATGAATAAGGGTCTTATCATGCGAAACGATCGGTTATTTCAAAACTTATTCCAAAAATGTAACTTTTCTAAGGACAATTGCTAGCCTTGCTCTATTCTGTGAGGCGCGTTTGCAACGTCACGTAATACGTAATTACGTTCAAAAGGTCACGGGCGACGTAGCCGGGAGTACAGAATCAAAATCGTCCGACATCGTTGTTTTACCTTTTAATTCCTTTTTTGTAAACGCCGTTTGAGTTAGTTTGCATGTTCAACCTATGCGTTCAACTTGTAAACACTCTGACTCTGTACTTCTGGCTACGTCGCCCGTGACCTTTTGAACGTAATTACGTATTACGTGACGTTACAAAACGCGCCTCACAGAATAGAGCAAGGCTAGCATTTGTCCTTAGAAAAGTTACATTTTTTGGAATAAGCTTTGAAATAACCGATCGTTTCGCATGATAAGACCCTTATTCATCGTCTGGTGTTGTTTAAAGACATTTGAAGCTGCATCTGAAACTGTTGTCGTTTGGACCTCGGACCGTCTGGTTCCCATGTAAGTCCATTATATGGAGAAAAATCCTGGAATGTTTTCATCAAAAACCTTCATTTCTTTTCGACTGAGGAAAGAAAGACATGGACATCTTGGATGACATGGGGGTGAGTAAATTATCAGCAAAAGTTTTTTCAAAAGTGAACTAATCCTTTAAAGGAAAATTTGGGCCGGGTGTCAATCTATAGCATCTTATTCTCACTGTCATCCATTGTCTGCAACACATTTCTTCTCCATCTTCATCTTTCTGCCATTTTCTCCACTGCTAAAGAAACTCTTAAAAGTCCTCACCCATACTCCTAACACTTTTGACCTTAAGACCTTTTTTAAGGGTTAAGATACTTTCTGAACTTTACTTACATTTGGACTTTTCTTTAATTTTAAGAGTAAACGCCCACATTTCTAAGAATTTTCTTAGAATTTTGTCACTAGGAGCTACTCTTTGCACTAAGATACTTTATGAATACGGGCCCTGATCTTTTGACTTTTAATGACAAGGTAATGTTAGTTCAAGTTGTAAAATGTCCTGTGATGTACAATATCTATTCGATGTGTAATGAAATTATTACTTTTTACTGTCTTAAAAAAAATATGAAACCATTATAAATACAAAGAGTACATAAAAAAAAACTCACTTAAAAAAGATCCTGCCTGTTAATTCATGTCGGGACATCAGTCGAGTATTTTTTTCACAGTGATTTAATTATGGTTTTATTTCCAATTGAAAGGCTTAAAGAGTACGTGTTGTGTAATCTACTTCCCTCTAATGGCTTTGATAAAGGGCGTTTTTGAAAAGCAAAGGCTGACTTCAATCCTATGTAAAATGTGCCGACGGCAAACTATCAAATACTGAAAGAAAAATAGCAGGAGGGAAAGAGGTGTGTCTTGACACAAAACATTTTTTGAACCTCATTGTGTGACAGTGTGTGATGGAATTAGGTTGATGTGATTGGTTGCGGTTTTCCAGTGTCCTTTAATTGATAGCAGTAATAAAACTGAAATGCATTTTAATCTGCACTGAAGCTAATGGTGAATCTGTTCAGAGAAAAGTGGCATCAAGTTTTAGGCCAGGAACGTGCAGCATGTTTGCGCTTTGTTTCCTGACAGCAGTGCATTTGCTGCTTGGTCTTCTACAAACTCGTTTTGTTTGGTTCAAGTGGATGCACTAAAAATAGGCATGCACGAGTAAAGTCAAATTAAGTCTGATTCATAGCTTGAGTTGGTGGAATTGAAAGGAGTCGTAAATGAAGTTAATATCACGCAGGCAGCTGACAAACTGTGAGCCATAGGCATCAAACACAAACCACAAATATCTCTCCCATCTCTCAGGTTTCCGTAACCTGCATGTGGATGATCAGATGACAGTCATTCAACACACTTGGATGGGAGTGATGGTCTTTGCTCTGGGTTGGAGATCCTACAAGAACGCTAATGCGCGGATGCTGTATTTCGCTCCAGACCTGGTCTTCAATGAGTCAGTCTTTTTCTCTTTTATATCCACTGTGCCCTTATTTGCCTGTTTTCTTTTGTGTCCGGCACCCATCTGCGTTTTGCATTGCCTCCTCCTTCTATCTCCTCTCTCTCTCTCTCTCTCATTCCTATCCTTCTTCTGTCCATTTGTTCGTCTTGTAAATGTACTAATCCATCTTTTCTCAAACTCATTTTTCTTTCATTTCTCCTTAGCGGCCCACTCTCTGCCTTATTCCATCTCTTTATCTTCCCCCTCTCTCTCTCTCTCTCTCTCTCTCTCTCTCACTGTCGAGCAGGTACATATCTTGTACTTCATGCACACAATAACAGTCCATCGTGGAGACTTCCAAGATTCATTTATAATTTACAGCTGGCTTATTATGGTGTGGAGGATCTTTGTCACAAACACAATCCCTGGAGAGATTGGATTTTTTGGGGAGCATACATGCTCTCAATGGCCTTTTTCACCAATATCTGAAATAGAACACTTCCTTACTAAATGCATCATGGCCATATCCCTTACCAGTACTGCCGACAGGAATTGTGTTTTAGGCATGAAATATATTTAATTTAGTTGGAGATTTAGGAGTCATTATATGACTTTATTCATATAGTAATTAGCGGATAGAAAGTTCTTTCAATCTGAAATTGCCAGATGTTTCTTTGTTTGCTTCCCTTTCTGTGTCTGTGTATTAATCTGCCCTTGTCTGTCAGTCGTAGGATGCATATCTCCAGCATGTACGAGCACTGTATTCAGATGAAGCACCTCTCACAGGAGTTTGTGCTGCTGCAGGTCACACAGGAAGAGTTCCTCTGCATGAAGGCCCTCCTCCTCTTCAGCATCAGTGAGTCTACTTCTGTGTCTGTTTCTGTATGTTCACACACACACAGATACTCTTAGAAATTAACAACTAATGACTATATTCATGCTAGATAAACTTTGAAATGAGCCGAGTCTGACAAATAGCCAGTTGTAAACACTTAAAATGTCTTTAATCAGCATCTTGAAAAAGTGGCCTTGGTCTGACCCACCTCAGAGAGCTTCTAGACCAGGAGTACTCAAGTACAGTTCCAAAAGGTCCACACGTTTAAGATAAAAAGATGAACCATTTAAATCGGATGTTTTATTTTTTTTTATTTTTTTTGACACCTATGCGTATGGCACATAGAAGCCTTGGGACTGAGAAACTATACTGGGGGTGCAGGGTGTCACAGTTATGGAATTTTATATTCTGTTTTGTTTTGTTCCTGTCTCTGCTCAGTTCAATTTTGTTTTCTTGGTCACTGATTATCTCCTCGTTTGTTTCTATTACAAATAATTATCACCTGTCAGTCATTATGTTTGTCTTGTATTTAAACTCACTGTTTTGTTTAGTCCCTTGTCGGTTTTTTGTATGTTTGTTGGTTTAAATGGAGGTTGGAGCAGGCTTCACTCAAAGTGTATACCTCAAATTGTTTTAAGAGTGCTGGCCTAATAATGACAATGCATGTATGGAAGAGAGAGGCCGCACTTTGCATATACAGTTTTATTATACACAAACGCGTTTCAGGCACGCGCCGAAACGCGTTTGTGTATAATAAAACTGTATATGCAAAGTGCGGCCTCTCTCTTCCATATATGTTTGTTGGTTTGCCATTCCTCCTAAGTTTTCCTGTGTGTTCCTGAATATTATGATGTTTAAATACAATCTGTTCTGAGTTACTATTTTTTTCTCATTGTGTATGCCGCAGACCAGCCTGTCACGCAGGGTTTACCTCTTAACCCTCTGGGGTCTGAGGTGTTTTCTGGGCCCTGGAGGTGAACTGACATGCTCTGACGTTTATGCTTTTTTCTGATACTTGACATTTTCATGGCTAGAGTCTGATTACACTGTATTCAGTACAGACTCTGCTACACTAATATGTCAGCAGCATGTATGTAAAGGTTTTTCGTTTTGAGATAATGACGTTTATGTGTGACTTGTGAAAAAACTAAAAAACATTGTCACTGAAATAAGGTCATGAAACCCATACTAATTATTTTTGTATTGTATTACATAGCCTAGAATATTTGCTTCAAAACAATGTGAAAATCATTCTGACAACTCAGATAAGACAATATATTCATTTAAAATTTGTAAGACATGTTTTGTGTAAGAAAGCTGTATGCTGGGAAGCGTTACCCCCTCATTAATATTGATATATTTGACACCTGAGAAAGACAAAGACCCTCCCCTAATGACCCTATTAGGTGATGTCATTATGAGGAGCCTTGCACAAAGAATGAGGAGAGACTTAAAGAATGGCTTTTAGATTGTTTGGATTTATTTACAACACAACATAATCCAAAGATAAACAACAAATGACAAACAAGCACATTAGTAAACACACTGATCTAAAGACAGATGCTCCAAACTATGAAACATTATTCTTACCATATTATGTATCTACGTGTGAGCAGATATCCACAAACACAGTATTTAACAGGGATGTCCCGATCAGGTTTTTTTGCCCTCGAGTCCGAGTCATTTGATTTTGAGTATCTGCGATACCGAGTCCCGATCCGATACTTCTATAATATATACAAAAAAGAATAAAGAAGAGCGAAAAAACAGATGCAGATTCCAAGATGTTCCTTATTTTTAATTTAATTCGCCTTATTTTAACATTTGACAACATGTTAACAAAAAGAGCACTTCTGTGAGGTAGCTTGAACAGTCAGGTAATAAACATAAATTCTTCACTTTTGGACTTTAGTGCAAAAGTATATATATAAAAAAAGTCTAATATAAAAACAAATAGCACTCAATCATTACGATCATTTGTTCTATTGTCTGTGAGGTCCTCCGGCTTCACACAATCAAGGGACATTTTTCTCTCCTCTTAAAACTCTCCAGCAGCGTGAGCTGACTCATCTTCGGCTGCTATGGCAATGTTGTTGTCATGAACTTTATAATGTTAAGCATAAATATTCTCATAAAGACACAGTCAGCAGTATTGACAGCAAAATAGACCACAGAAGACCACCTTATTTCAGAAACTTTCATTTTTCGTTTTTTCAATAACCACGCTTAAACAATATTCTCTCAAAAATACAAACAACATGTTGCTCACATATTATGGTAGCCCTGTTTCTGCTAAATATAGTGTAATTTCACCTGTGCCATTAATAGTTTTGAGATGCCCTGATAAAGGACCCCAAATACACCCTAGACCTCATCAGAGGGTTAATTCAATTTTGTTAGTTTGAAGTAATTTTGTTTTGTGTTTCAAGTAGTTAATTAAATTATGTTTGGTACGATGCAGTATATATTTTTAGGTAAATATTTTTGTTATGAGGAAGGTTTTATTTTGTATTTACCTTTCTTTTTTTCTTTTTTTTTTTTTTGTGGTAAAGGCTATTGAGTCTATTTATCAGTGGCGAAAGTGTCAGAGAAGTCAGATTTGCCCAGCCATATAACATCATGGTCTGCTGACATTAGTGGGTTTTTTTGTTTGTTTTTTTTGCTTTGTTATTTTGTTAAATTTTTTGAGGCCGGTTTAATTTTTGTTCGTTTCAGTTAACTTCTTAATAACTTTCTTAACTATCTTAAATCTTTGATTTTTAAATGGACTTTATTTGGAAATTACTTTCATTATATCTCCCCCTGTATGTAATTTTTCTTAGGAAGAAATAAATCTTGTTATTTGCTTACTATCTGTCCTGCCTGTTCTTGGCCACACCATCACGGCATCGATGCAGGAGATGCTGAGGACTCACTCTCTTAAATACGAAAAGCTGGTGGAGGTTGTGACTCACGTTGTCGCCAGATTAAACATTGACTGGCGAAACTAATTCCCTCATTGAAGGCCTCCTTGGGAGATTCCGGTCAGCAGGGACCCCAGACAAGGGGCTCAATTCTTTACACCCTGCAAGATCGGAGCTCATTGATTCCGACCTCTCAACCGAAGGTGTTGAGACCATTTTTACTTCCTCCACAAGGAATATGTATGCCTTGAAGTGGGAAGTGTTCACTTCTTAGTGCAGTGGTTATCAGCTGGACCCAGTTAACTGCCCTGTTGGTACAGTGCTGGAGTTCCTGCAAGAGTGATTCAGTGCAGGGTTATCCCACCCACCTTTAAGTTTTATGTGGCGGCTATATCTACTTAGCACATTTCTTTGGATGTAATGTCTATTGGGAGAGTAAGTATTCTCCCTATGTAATGTCTATAGAGAGAGTACAGTAAGTTAACCTTTTGGTAAGACGTTTCCTCTGTGGCACATTAAGGCTGAGGCCTGCCGTACGTTCTAGGGTACCGGCTTGGGATCTGGCTGTGGTGATCCAAGGCCTGTCCATTGCTCCCTTAGACCCTATTGAAGCTGACTCTTAAAGCGTTGTTCCTCCATGTCATTATGTCTCTTAAAAGAATAGGAGACGAGCCCTGTCAGTTGCCCTTCACTAATGTAGCTAGATGTGCTCCAGAAGAAAAAAATCTGCTTTGTCCAGTTTGGGCATTAGATGCTTTTGTCCGCAGAGCTGCCCAGTGGCGTAAATGTCAGTAAGTAAACACACAAAACTATTTTATTTTAATGTTTTAATGAAAAAATTTCTATTTCTGCAGTTCCAGTGGAGGGGCTGAAGAGTCAGAAGTATTTTGATGAGCTGCGTCTGACATATATAAACGAGCTTGATCGTTTAATCAACTATGGCAGGAAGAGCAACTGTGCCATGCGCTTCCAACAGCTGACCCGAATGATGGACTCACTGCAACCAGTAAGTAACACGCATACATGCAATCACATACACATAGATAAACACACACGCACACACACATACTGTACAGAGACAGCCCATGCATAAAATTCATTAGTGTGTTACATGCATTACTGGCCCCATGATGCAGTTACGTTCAAATGTTTGGGGTCAGTTATATTAATTAATAGCTTTAATTGATCAAAAGTGACTGTAAAGCCTTTTACATAGTTACAAAACAGTTTTTAAAAAATGCTTTCGTGGTTTCTACAAAAATATAAAGTAGCACAACGATTTTCACCATTGATAATAATAATAAGAAATGTTTCATGAGCACCAAATCAGCATATTAGAATGGTTTCTGAAACATAACGTGGCACTGAAGACTGTAGTAATGATGCTAAAAAAACAGCTTTACCCATCACAGGAATACAATTTAAAATATATTGAAATATTTACTTTTACTTGTAATACTATTATATAATTATTTTCACTGTATTAAATAAGTCATTATTTGACCAAATAAAGCTTTGGTGAGCATAAGGGACCTCTTTTAAAACAAAAAAAAATCTATTACGGTGAATTACAGGCGAATTCACATTTTATTTGTTAACAAGTTGTAATCCAGTTATCCAGTGCCCTGCCCTGTATTTAAATTAAGTCACTGTCAATGGGTCTCATTCATTAATAATTGTGTGTATTATTTCGCATTTCTAAGTACAGGAGAACATCTCACGAAAAACCTCAGCCCAACAAGTTTGTACGCACATGAATTTGTTCTTAAAATCGTTCTGATGTTAGTGAATTTGGATTATTCTAAATGAGCTTCCGCATGCACGAGTTTATGAGTTTTCAGGTTGCATATAACATGCTCAAACCATCTCCATAAATGGGCTTTCCACACACGCTTTCCTTACAGCCTTTCGTCACTTTTGTCAAACTAGCCGCTGTTTGCAGATGCACTTTCTCCCGATCCTCGAGCAATGCGAAGTGTGCTATTCTCACCAGTTCTCACAATAAACGTCTTTTATACAGACCAGATTACAGACCTGCATATATCTGCATTATTCAGAGAAACCGCGCATCTGAAGCTATTACAGCTTGTCTTACTCTTTAACTGTATATGATGGAATGCATTTAAAATTAAATTGTATTATTGAATAATTTTATAAATGAATTATATAGGCGGAGTTACACCATGCAAATTCCACAGACCCATGGCATTTCTTTGCCATTGGCTCTTTTTATATTGATCGAAGCTGATAGGCATTCTAAGCGAAACCCCATTCGTTGTCATCTGACGGAACGTCTCCGTTCCCTACTCAGGGAACATGGGTTACATACGTAACCGAGACGTTTTTCAGGTACAGTAGCATAGGTTTATTTAACGTGTAGAACTACTACCGAAATTGAAACACTGTTTTAAAAATAAAACACTGTATGAATTAAATATAAATTGATTCTTGTTAAAGATAAAAAAAAATCCTACAGTCCACTGTCAACAGAATGTGCATTTTGACATAATTGTGTGTGTACCTGTGAAAGAGAACTGAACTCGAGATCTCGCGCATGTGAGAGGCGGCATCGAGTCCTTGTTCACGGCTTATGGTGTCATGTTTATGTAAGTAACTTTACATAGTACTGCGAATTTGAAGTGTGTAACAATCGATTTTTGGTATTTGTGAATCGATGCAAATCAGTAGAAGATCCAGAAGATCCTCGCGGTTCAAGAGCCAGTTAGGGTGAATGCAGCACAATCGTAGTATAGTATGCCAGATTGTAGTAGTCTGCTGCATTGTCTAAAACAGAACAGAATCAAGCAGAGATGAGTTTATTATTTTGTTGGCCATGTGCTAACGGTTTCACATTATTCCTTCAGTAATTATGGTTCTAAAACATTATTAACACACGGAACAATTACGACCAAATTGTCAGCCACAATACATTCTTGGTGAATTCTTCCTGTAATATTAATGTGTTGCCATTTTGCTTATTCCTGTCTCCCCTTTCCCCTCCTTCTCTCTCTCTTTTTCTCTCCCTCACCCAGATTGTTCAGAAGTTGCACCAGTTCACCTTTGACCTCTTTGTCCAAGCCCGGTCCTTGCCCACAAAGGTCAGCTTTCCCGAAATGATTGCAGAAATAATCTCAGTCCAGGTGCCAAAGATCCTCGCCGGCCTGTCTAAACCAATCCTGTTTCACAAATGACATGACTACGCCCCTGATCCGCCAATCCATACCAACCCCACCCAGGTCATATGAGCCAGTCTGTTCGGCCTGATCCAGTTTGATCCAGCCTAAACCAGCCTACGATGCTTTTAATGTGGACTCGAATCGAGCGATGAGACTGAATGATACAGATTTTTGATTTCTAACCCCCCCCCCCCCCTCCCTTTCTATATCAGTCTCGTCTCCCTCGGTTTGAAAAATGGCCCTGAAAAGTAGTGGGACCATTACATCATTACAGTTGTCTATCTTCTCCTCAGAGATCATTTGAGCTCATTTTCTCAAACTGACAGCACGGTTTTGTTCTTTCTTTCGACCAGCAGTTATCCTTCAAGAGTTACAGCGTGTTGCCCGGTGGATATGTTGGAAAAAAATATCACTGCAGTTTCACCTGAGCCCTTAATCAAAAAAAAAAAAAAAAAAAAAAAAAGAAGACATTACATAGATCCCTATCAGAGTGTGACCTGCCCTGACTCTCTATGCATCGTGAGATAAAAAGGTTTCATTTATTGTCTGTGAATTGACAGATCAGGGCAAATTAAGGCAACATGCTTCGAGAAATATATCCGAACATGGCGAAAACCAAGACAAATCTCTGCACTTATGACTTTTCCAACACACTGCTAAATACAGTACTTTAGTATTAAAACAATATGATACAGAATTCAGTACAGCAGAGTTTCTACCCTGCTTTATTAGTTTATTGATTGTAAAACAAGTGCTTCATTCATTTATTATGAAATGTAGAGGCTCTTTATAAAAGCTTTTTAAAAGGAATTATTCATTCAGAATGTTTAGGTTATGTGACTTTTTCGTTCAATTGGAAATCTATTACAGTAGGGTTTGAAAATAGCCACTGAACGGCTGAAAGGACAGCACGATGAAAAACATCTCAGTCATCGCGAGTTGCCTCCTCTAGACAGCAGACTTTTGTTAAGACGAGGCTCAGCACCCTTTTTACAACCCGGATATTTAAGTTCAGGTTTTAGGGTATAATGTTGACAGTTTGTATATAGAACATAAATACAGCAAAGCTTGGGTCCGCATAGAAGATCTTCAAAACCCAATATACATATAAATCTATGCATGCTGTCTTCATATCCATCATGACAAATAATTGCATGCTAAAGCCCTGACGTTAGATATAAAAAAATAATAATAATAAACTGCGTTTCCAGTAAGCTAAATGGATATTGTTAGGAAACAGAACTGTTTTCCCATAAGGCTCTTATGAAGTCTCTCTCTCTTCACTGTTCTTAATGGAAGAATTGGCAAGGGTATATATATATGTAAAGGTTAAGCGTGGTTCTTTTCAACCTTTCTATGTGCTAATGTATGGATGTAGTCAATAGTTTAACAGTACAGTTTCCTCTCTTTCCTTTATAGTAAGTGCCACTAAGGGATTTGTATTTCTCCACGCTAGCAATAAGTAATTACATGCTTAACACACTCTTTTAACAAGCACATTTAGAATACAAAAACACGCTTCAAATGATACACCGATTTAAAAAAACAAACTAAACAAAACAAAAAAGAGCTATGCGTACGCGAGACAACACTGGACAGCACTGTTATTTTATCAGGAACTCGTACCAAACATCATGATCACCATCAACCGCCGCAAATCAACGACGAGAGGTGCTAAAGCTCTCCTATTTATTCACGAGGGTGTTAAATGAGACAAAAGACAAAAAAAAACAGACAAAAAACAAAAAAAAACAAGGCATATGTATTTTTACTCCGCTTTTGCTTCAATTAAAGCATTCTCTATCTATCCCTCAGAAAGTAACATCTTTACTTGTATTTTCTAGATGTCTTTTTCCTCTGCACGCTCTTTGTTTCTAAATGATTGAATAATGCCTGCAGCGTTATGTATGTAGATTACTCTTTAAAGAGCCCAGAATTCGCGATGCTGTTGTCTTTGTCAGACTCGGGGTGACCTGGGGTGTGCTTTCAGTAGAGCAGGGAGTTTTCCGCCGAGTTAAAACGACGAGATGTGGTTTAGCTGCTCGAGCTCTTGTCGCCGTAGAGCATGTTGACGCTTTAAATGTGCCAGGCAGAGAATAGGCTGTCAGAGACAGCTCTTCTGCTCTGACAGCACCGAGCACCGCACAATTACACGCAGGTGTTTACCCATTTAGACGGCCCAAAAGCACTCATTAGAATTTGCAGAACTCCAAACTGCACTTTTACCCTGCCAAAAAAAAAAAAAAAAAGAGCTCATGACTTCCACCACAAACATGCAGCACTTTAGGACGGAGCTGAAGCCAAAGTCTGATCACAAAAGTCGTTCATTAGCCGGCGGAACTTTGGAGGAGGACACTTGCATGTGAAGACAAATACAGCTCATTCAAACTTGACTTTGTGAGAGACACCGTCTCTGTCTTGCAAATGTTTCAAACGGAACGTTTCTAATGTCATTTAGCGATGCTCAAATGTAACACCCCGCATGTGTGAACCAACTTGTGCTTGGATGGTCCATACGCCGATTTGTGACTTTCTTAAGACATCTCTTAAGAGCTATTATGTTGAACTTTGTGTGTTGGATTTACTGTTACTGTGTGCGGTGTGACAGCCAATAGCAAAAGCATATGTTTATATGCACTCTTGTAAATCTGTCAATTATTGAATTTGGCCTGTGTTGATGACAAAAGGTTTGCTTGGATCCTGCCAATGTTTCCTCTCCACGTGAACAACACAACCTGGAGCCTTAATAACAGTCTGCATGTCACCAGGATGCTTCCTGTGGTTATAAATTGGCCTGTCAGTACACAAGGGAGGAAAAATGCTATATCACGATCTCTCAATGATAGAATATAATTTTCTAATGTGTATTACTGCGAAGTATCTTGAAATAAAGAGCTACGTTAAGCTGAAACAAGAGCACCACACTGGTTTACAGACAAAATGTGCTAATGAAACCATGAAATAGCTATATCTATTTATGTCCTGTTTCAGCTTTGTAAACCATATAAGAACTCCCATATGTGTAACAATGACTTTTTTCTTTAAAGAAAAACTCTCTTTGCTGACTGATACGAGCAATTACAGTACTAATAATTAGCGAATGCTTTTTTACAGCTTTTTCCTCTGTGTGAATAATTCCTGTCTTTTCCTGGTGTTATGGGATATTTTTTCGCATTTCCATACGCAGACTGAGGATCTGGGTAGTTCGGCTTTATATGACTAGAAGAGGAAAGAGGCTTCTTAAACAATGTTTGTTACTTAAATCTTTGTAACTTTATAGTCTTTTTTTACAGCCGTTGTGTGTATGTGTGAGTCTGTGCATGCACGCTTTTCGCAGGTAATTTAGTACTGTTATGTAGTGTTGTATTGACATTTGTTAACTGATGATTTCTTTTTTCAGTTTGCAAACTGATTTCCACTCGTATGGAAAATCGCTTATCAGACACGCTCTGATTCCTGTTGTGTAGAGCCTGTGTAAATCGGGGTTGTTTGTGTTTTTCCTCTTTCAATTCAATAAAAATATTTGAAACTCTTGAAAGTCCTTCTTTGCGACTTTTCTCAGAAACACACCCTGAGTTGGAAGGACATAATGCAAAAGCAAGGGGGCTCTAGAGACATTTTTTTTGGTGGGAGCTTGTCTACCCTCTTCAGGGTAGCTGTGACTGTTGCACAGCTGTTTTAATTTAACTGGATTCCAAAGGTCTGTTCTCCTTCCAATCATTTATTATTATCATGAGTTCATTTAGTTATATAATTTATTTCTACTCTGGATTGACTTACAGCTTACTTACATAAGAATAAAACAGTTCACCTCTTTTTTTTTTAATAAAGTATCATCTTGCAACAGTCCATTTAAACAACAAAAAAACAAACAGGGTTTAGTGACTTTTACGAAGAATTAGAAAGCGAGAACTTGACGAACAGCTAGAAAATGTTTACAAAAACTACATAAAATATCAACTGGAAATTTTGACCTTTATACTAATAATAATAACAGATAGGAATGCACCAAACCCACCTAAAGTGACCATAAAATTTCAACCTTATTGTAACTGAAATGCCAAAAACATGGGGGGGGGGGGGGGGGGGGAGAAAAAACATTGAAGCGTCCTTTGCTCTGTAAACTAGTCAAAGTAATGAAAGTTCCTCAATCCCTTTTGGTTTGCTGTAGGAACACAAGCAATTCATAACGGATAAAAGGAGAAGCAGTTTTCAATCACTGCAACTACTCTGCTTGTCAGAAACATTTAAAACCAGCGTTGCACTTCATCTCTAATAACAGATAATTAATAAAAGCATGTTCAGCTTCTAAGTAATTAAAGGCTGATTAGTGTTGATTCGGAATAGTACCACCTTCTACCGCTCATAAAGTGAAGTCTGTAGTGTGTCTGGAAGTCTGTGAGACTGTAAATCCGTCAGTCTTATCGGTTTCGATAAAGTAGGTCAGAGAGAAAGGGAGATATATTGAGAGACACAATGAGCAAGAGAACAGGAGGGAGTTCTCCCTATTGTGCAGGAAGGTCAAAATGTTAAAAAAAATAAAAAAATATTCATTGCTTTCTTTTTGTTCTCTGATCCGAGCAAGAATCAAAGACTTCATTTTACAACAAAGTAAGCAAGTGCAAGAAATTGGCGGCGAAGCACAAAAAAAAATTGTACCCTGCCCAATTCACAAACACAAAACAAACAAACTGGGGTCATGGGGGCGTTCCTTCATGCTCTGCCAGTGACATTAATAATTGATCTATTAAAATCACATCCAGACTCCAGGCCTGTGCCGTACATGGACACATACAGTCTCTTGACCGCTGACGTGCGTTAATTGGTCCACAAGATATTGATCCACAAGTTGTATTAGTGACTGGAAGGAAGGTTCTATTTAGTCTCCTGCAAAGATAAACAAGTGTCAGAAATGAGCATAAAAACTATAGGTTACTTTATTAAAAATAAGACAGCAGAACATGCCGTACCTCATCTCTAGAACCTGCAGAGGCATTCGGAGAGGAGCTGCAGGACAAAAGACAGTAAGCTATTATAAATTTCATTCTTTTCAGTAACTTAAAAAAAAGAAAAAGAAAATCCATTCATTATTATATCATCATATAATCCAGTCATTATTACTCATGTTGTTCCAAACCTGTTAGCTGTTTTTTGTTTTTTTGTTTGTACACAATGTAAATTATTTCTAACTCTGTTTTCCCTACAATTGCAGTACAAAGGGATGAGACTGTCAAGATCCAAATAGCCCATGAAACCACCATCAAAGTTCCCCTTCCAGGGAACTCGCAGTCGCAGTGCGTCATCGTTACGACACTTTAGGGAACGCCCCCAGCGTAGCGCGTCTGAAGCATGAATGAAATCTGTCCAATCCTGATTGGTGCTGCGTCATGGCATAGTAGATGACGGCATAACCGGAAGCTACAAAGGGACGCCCAGAGCACACACACATCAGCTTTTTGCTCCTCAGCAAGCACTCTGTGTCAAACTGTATGTCCTATTTGGTGTTGTTTGTCCCATAAGAATTGTCCCAAAATAATTGCAATATAGAATCTAGTGGCTCGGATCTCGGGTTTGCCGAGGCAGCGTGTAGATTACGGGTCTACTCAACAATACGATTCTGTGACTTTGATCTCGGTTGCCGAGGCAGCGCGTAGATTAAAGGTCTGCTTGCAATTCAGAATCTAGTGGCTCGGATCTCGCGTTTGCCGAGGCAGCGTGTAGATTACGGGTCTACTTTACAATAAGATTCTGTGACTGGGATCTCGTGTTTGCCGAGGCAGCACGTAGATTAAAGGTCTGCATTGCAATTCAGAATTTAGTGGCTAAGATCTCGCGTTTGCCGAGGCAGCGTGTAGATTACGGGTCTACTTTGCAATAAATATTCTGTGACTGGGATCTCGCGTTTGCCGAGGCAGCGCGAATATTTAAGGTCTGCATGCATTGCAATAAAGAATAGTATAGTGACTCGGATCTCGCGCTTGTCGAGGCAGCGCGTAGATTTGGTCTACTACTATGCAATAAAGATTTTGTGTGGGTGAGAGGCATGTACAGTCAGCTCCTTAGGGTGCTGGCTGTGTTCATTGTTTGACGCACACAGCCGTGCGTTTCGGGTGTTTTCAGCCTCGTGCCCGTTGTCTTTCTTCTCGAGAGATGAAAGCCAAATATTGTGAATGACTCGAATCTTGCGTTGCCGAGGAAGCACGTAGATTACGGGTCTACAATAAAAGGGACACACAATCTATGAAATAAGTTTTGTGCGAGACATTCACAGTCATCTCCTGAGGATACTGGCAGTGTTCGTTGAGAAATATCTCGATGCGAGGGCCTACAAAATAAATCGTGCGCTGTTGGATGTTTCAGCCTCGCACCTGTTGACTTTCTTCTCGAGGGAGGAAAGCCAATTATATTGTTATGGCTCGATTCTCGCATTTGCCGAGGCAGCGTGTAGATAACGAGACTGTAAATAATATTAAAACAGTATTTTTGGTGATTATGGCCGCATTTAATTCTGATTAATTAAAATGGTGAGCAGCGAACGTCGAGAATCGTTTTAAATTTTTCCCTGCCGGTCCTCCGCTTCAGGGTTTCGAAAACGAGACGAAAATAGCAGGGCTGTCCTCCCCGTGGTGGGATGCGAGAATCGCTCCTCCGCGGAGCCCTCAGAAAATCGATGTTGTATCCAGCGTCAGGTGCGCTTCGGGACACATCGGTTTTCAGCGAATGCATGCTGGAGTGTTCGCCACAAGGTCGCCTCCCTCCCGGAGCTCTCGGGAAATCAGTGCTGTGTTCCCGCCGTCCAGTGCGTCTCGGGCCTCACTGTTTTCCTGCGTCCGTGTGCCACCTCAGCCACCTCTAGAAAGACCTGTGGCTGGACAGCGTTCACGTCCGCACACCGACAATCGTTCTCGACTACTCCCTGCCGGTCAGCCACTTCAGGGGGTCGGGAACGAGTATCGGTTAATACCCGAGGTCAGCCGCGAGAGGCTGGTTCCCTTAGTAGATTGGGAGCAAAATCAGGGAGCAGACGTCCTGTCAAGGCAGGGGCGGAAGCCCAGGGATTGGCGACTCCATCCCGAGGTGGTGGAGGCCATGTGCGTGAGATTCGGCCCAGTGGAAGTGGATCTGTTCCCGTCTCAAGAGATGTCCCACTCCGTTGGGGCTGGACGCTATGACACAGACGTGGCCGAGGCTGCGTCTGTACGCATTTCCCCCGATCGCTCTGCTTCCGGGAGTCTTGGAGCAGGTTCGCCGGGAAGGGATCAGCTTACTTTTAGTAGCACCCTGCTGGCCGACCAGGATATAGTTCTCGGACATATAGCACTGCTAGACGGCCTCCCGTGGCTGTCGCAGGCAGGGGGCTCAATATTTTACCCCCGGCCAGAGCTAAGGAACCTCTAGGTCTGGCCCCTGAGGGGGCTCGGTATTTAGAGGCTGGCCTGTCAGCAGGTGTTGTCGAGACCCTACTCAGCTCCAGGGCTCCTTCCACCAGGAGACTGTACAGCCTAAAGTGTTATGTGTTTTCCGCTTGGTGTAGAGCACGTGAGGTGGACCCAGTTAACTGCCCAGTGGCTTCAGTGCTGGAGTTCCTCCAAGATCGTTTCTCCACCGGTCATACCCCATCCACACTTAAGGTGTATGTGGCTGCCATTGCAGCTTTCCACTCGCCTGTAGGTGTTGGGCCTCTGGGTAGGCACCATTTGGTTGTACGTTTCCTCCGTGGGGCTCGGAGGATGAGGCCTGTGGCTCATTCCAGAGTCCCAACCTGGGACCTGGCAGTGGTTCTTGAAGGGTTTTTATATTATATATTTTTTTTTCACATATATTTTTCACCAACCAGTGTGTGAAATATAGTGTGACAGTCTAGATTTAAATTAAAACATAAAAAAACAAGCTGTGACTTATCTATTTGCTCTGTGGTTTAAGGGGTGTTTAAAAAGGACTTTTTGTTTGCATCAATTAGCTCATCTTTACAGTCCACATATTTTTAGAAGTTTAAATAGGCAGAGTGAATTGCATTAAAATGGCACAAATGTCATAAGTTAAATTATGAAGAAGCATCTTGACTATTTATAATTTTGAGTCTTAACTGTTTGATTTTAAAAACTTATTAATGTATGCTGAATCAAAGCCAACGTTTCAATTTATACTTTCATCAAGGCCTTGGACATGAATACTCTCTGGGTTGAAAAACAGTTTTTGCACATTTTCATACATCACAAGGCATCCTAATGGGCCATTCTCTGTTTTACTTGTGTTTGCTTTACTTATTTAAGTCGCATCTTGTGGTTAAATAAAAACACTCCTGGCAAAGAACAAACTATGAAATTCAAATTCTAGTATCTCTAACAAATTATATCTAACATAAATAATAACATAAATTAAGCATGTAAAGAACAAATATTTTGTTTTTTTTCCTCACAAACTTAGTTTTTTCTTTTGCTTTTACAGATACACTTTTTAAATAAGGTCCTATCTTTAAGCATTTTGGTTTGTCCTGTTGGATTTCTGTGTTTTCATGTAACCACAAGATGGT